AAGATTTACACACCTTTTTTTTTTTTTTCGTCTGTTTTTTGAGCTCGAACTTTTTAACATTACATTATTGGATTTAGGTTAAGAAAAAATTCTTTTTTGGGTTTTTCCCCCGTCAATTCCCGGCGGCCCCACCCCCCCCCCCCCCACCCCCAGGCTACTACGGGGCATTTGCACGCTTTGTCAGTTGATCCCTGGGGTGGGGCATTTGCAAATTTTGCACTGCCTGAGGGCCGCGCATTTGCCAACCCCGGGGCCGTTCCCCAGCTTTTGCCACGCACGCGGTTTTCCGGAGCTATCGATGTGAATCAACCTTTTTTGGTCATTCAATCAAATTTCTGTTGATATTGTTTGAAGAACATCCTTTCATATTTATAAAACTATTCATAACATATAATTTTAAAGCGCTGTATTTATTTTAATGTCAATACTAAAATCGTAAACTGGTGCATGTCGTCGCGGCGTGAAGTCTTAATTAGAATCCTTGCGCTGTTACAAAGGAAGACGTTCCTTGAAACAAAAAATCGCACATGCATTATAACGGCTTAAAATAGCACTATTCGACTGTGCAATCAATGAAAAATATTGCAGTGTTGACAGAGGACGGGGCATTTGCCCTCTTTTTTCGTCCGCACTCCGGGGGATTTGACAGCTCAACAGTCCCCACCCCCGGGAATTTGCCATCCAAGGCAAAAAAAATTGCTAATGCCCGGGGGTAAGCCCGGGGGGGGGACGGGGGGCTGGGCCCAGCTGGAATTGACTGATGCATTATATAATTTAGCACCGAAAATAGTGATTAGGGTTAAGCACTGACTCCAAACGCGTTTGCTTCTATTTTGGGTTAAGGTTGTTGCTGCTCATGTCACTCATCGCTTCAAATCAAACCTATTCTCGCCAGCGAATCCTCTGTGGCGTAGTGTTGTAAGTAATGGAACGCGGACACTACGCTTCGGGTTCGATTCTTGCTCTCGCTCTTCTGAATTTTTTTCCCTAAAAAATTGGAGAGACTGACACTTTCGTGAACATTCCCTGAACAGAAATGTCAAGTAAATAGAAATTTCATCTGTGTAGTGTGGAAGCATTAAATTAGATTACTACGTTGTGTAAACTGCCGATGGGATCTTATAGAGTACAGTGAATGGGGTGGGGGGCCAATCTCGACCATAGTGCTTATACTTACGCTTCTGACTCCCTGGGCCAGTTGTTCGAAGGCCGATCAGCGCTTAACCCGGGTTTCTTTTTCTTACGTTCAAAAGCATTTTCCTGGATAATTTTCTCTGTTATTTTTAGAGCTTCCAATCATAAACTTGTAGACAAAAAGAATTAAAACTGAAATGCTTTTTAAGCTTTCAAATCTGAATTCAAATCTCGCACTAATCCTAGGTTATTTTATCATGCCAGCTCTGGGGGCACTGGGACGGGATTTATGCGATACCCTCGTCTCCCAAGGCATTGTGGGCTATAGAAGCTGGCGGCAGCCATGTTTTGAGATATCTAATTTTGCCTCGTTGTTTGTCGTTGAATTTGAGCGCTCAAAATTAACTGGTCCATCTCAAAAACTTGCAGACTGATACAATGGATGGGGAAGATTCGAAACCACAGGGTCAAAAGAAACAAAATAACGTCCTTCCCTTGTGGGGAAATGAAAAGACGATGAATCTTAACAGCATGGTTTTAACCAACATTTTGTCGTCTCCTTACTTCAAGAACGAATTGTTCAAACTGAAAACCTATCACGAAGTTGTTGATGAGATTTACTACAAGGTAAGAATGGAGGAATGTCAAAGAGGAATTGAGGGACACAACATTGGACTCCACATTCTAGACACNTCCAAGGCAAAAAAAATTGCTAATGCCCGGGGGTAAGCCCGGGGGGGGGACGGGGGGCTGGGCCCAGCTGGAATTGACTGATGCATTATATAATTTAGCACCGAAAATAGTGATTAGGGTTAAGCACTGACTCCAAACGCGTTTGCTTCTATTTTGGGTTAAGGTTGTTGCTGCTCATGTCACTCATCGCTTCAAATCAAACCTATTCTCGCCAGCGAATCCTCTGTGGCGTAGTGTTGTAAGTAATGGAACGCGGACACTACGCTTCGGGTTCGATTCTTGCTCTCGCTCTTCTGAATTTTTTTCCCTAAAAAATTGGAGAGACTGACACTTTCGTGAACATTCCCTGAACAGAAATGTCAAGTAAATAGAAATTTCATCTGTGTAGTGTGGAAGCATTAAATTAGATTACTACGTTGTGTAAACTGCCGATGGGATCTTATAGAGTACAGTGAATGGGGTGGGGGGCCAATCTCGACCATAGTGCTTATACTTACGCTTCTGACTCCCTGGGCCAGTTGTTCGAAGGCCGATCAGCGCTTAACCCGGGTTTCTTTTTCTTACGTTCAAAAGCATTTTCCTGGATAATTTTCTCTGTTATTTTTAGAGCTTCCAATCATAAACTTGTAGACAAAAAGAATTAAAACTGAAATGCTTTTTAAGCTTTCAAATCTGAATTCAAATCTCGCACTAATCCTAGGTTATTTTATCATGCCAGCTCTGGGGGCACTGGGACGGGATTTATGCGATACCCTCGTCTCCCAAGGCATTGTGGGCTATAGAAGCTGGCGGCAGCCATGTTTTGAGATATCTAATTTTGCCTCGTTGTTTGTCGTTGAATTTGAGCGCTCAAAATTAACTGGTCCATCTCAAAAACTTGCAGACTGATACAATGGATGGGGAAGATTCGAAACCACAGGGTCAAAAGAAACAAAATAACGTCCTTCCCTTGTGGGGAAATGAAAAGACGATGAATCTTAACAGCATGGTTTTAACCAACATTTTGTCGTCTCCTTACTTCAAGAACGAATTGTTCAAACTGAAAACCTATCACGAAGTTGTTGATGAGATTTACTACAAGGTAAGAATGGAGGAATGTCAAAGAGGAATTGAGGGACACAACATTGGACTCCACATTCTAGACACGTAAGAACCGCCATGCCAAGATCAGATTAGCAGGTTTAAAGTTCTTCGTTTTAAAAATCGAGTCTTAAAATTAAGCTTAACTATAATTTGAACTCTGAAGTAAAGACGTACTCTATGAACAAAGATATATAAAGCTTGAGATGCGTTTTCTCGTCAAATGAAAACATTCTTTTGGTAGGTAGACCTAACTTAAAAAGTAAGATAAAACCTGTTGGGATAACGTATGTCAGGATAAGTTTAATTTTATAATTATAAACTTACATTTATGTTGCCGATTGTTTTTGCCATCATAACAGACCAACATTTTGTTGTCACCATATTTTAACATTCTTCAGAAGAGTACTTTAATTTTTTTTATTCATTTAGCCATACCTACAGAACGGAAAGAGATAATAGTATTTAGTTTTACTGCCTAATTTACTTTAGTTGAACATTGGACAACAAGATCATCTTTCCTGTAAGTGCTTCTCGCTTGCCACTTGCAGAGGGATAGGCCAAAAATATTGCTAGACCCTGAACTTGCTCTTGTATTTTGTGTATTGTGGACATTGTGTTCAAGGAAAGTTTTGTTTTTGTTTTCCGTTTGCTTTTTATTTTAAGGTGGAGCACCTTGAACCTTGGGAAAAAGGAAGTAGAAAGACTGCAGGGCAAGTTGGAATGTGTGGAGGAGTAAGTTTATTTATCCATTTTTGTACTAAGTAACCTGCTGTAATTTACAGTACCTTCTACCAATTTATGAGGCCACATATGTGTAGCAGTATATGCAGATAAAATAGTAAGATACATAAACATGATAATAAGGTGTAATTATTGCCGTGTCCAACATTGCAGATAATTATGGTACCAAAACATAGAACAAAATGTAGGTAGCAGAACAGGGCTCATTATAATTCCTGGAGAGTCACTGGACATGATGACTGGCCACATTCATTTTAGCTCGGTCACGTATTGTTTCTGGCCGGTCAAATTTTTAAGATGAATAACTCTTAAAACAAAAACCCATGAACCAAATCTGGCATTCAACCCTCCAACTTGTGACCGTTTTAGTCGCCATGGTGCCTAAAATTTTGAAGCTGACAACTTGATCTGTAGAAAAGTCTCCCAAAACCAACAGAATTGGTTGCCAAATGGCGACCACGCAAAAACTTTAACTTGGAGGACTGGGCATTATATATTTCCAGAAACCCATAAGGGGTTGAAACGTGTAACTCGCGTTCAATGCTCGTGAATATTCGTTTTGACCATATTTGGAAACCTTAGTGACGGATACCCATTTTCAACAAAATGGCTACTGCGCAATCACCATGCAGATGTTTTAAGACAAGAGTTCTGCATTTCAAGGTTAAAAATACACCGTTAAAAGACAAAAAATGGAAAGAGAACGTTCAAAAGAATGTTCAGCTTTCTTTTTGTGGAGAAAGGGAAGCTTTTCATCAAGAAATCATCCTTCGAGGAATTCAACCTTGTTTTCTTTACGGCGGAGCCCATGGTCTGTTTTGAAATGCAACCAAGTCAGCGAAGTTTTTGCTGAATTTTCAGGTACATTTTGCACTCTATGGCCAAGACAATTACGTTTTTGAAAGGGAATTTATGTATTTTTAAATGTTTCATAGACGTTTTATAAATTTTTCTCTTCGGCGCTAAAGAAAAATTATAAAATGTGCCCCGATTAATTGAGATGGATTTTGAGTTGAATTTTGCCATGTGCTTAGCCGATTTCACTTGCGTGAACGGATCCACGATCCAGATAGTGTTTTCCGAATTGCTTTAAAGGATTAACTTTTTGGACTTTGAATAAAAATTTTCAAGAAACGGCTTCTCTGTCTATTGTTTTGAGTTTGTTCATTCATAAAATTAGCTCAAACACGATCGTGACTACAACATCTAAGTTTAATTTAAACTTTTAAAATGCTTCTCACATTCATTACAAGCATCACTTTTTGCGAAGATGTCAGGTTCAGGTTTTGGACACTTTTCGATAAGCAGCTAATGAATTTTATTCGAAAATATTTTTCACTGTTTATTCTTGACTTTTAACATAAGAATTTTAAAAGCCTATTTTCAGTATAAGTTTACTGTGCAGAGGGTCAACGAGGTATCGTATTTTGAAGTGACAACTTCAAGAAGTTGCGAGGCCGTCAATAGGTTTCATAATGTTACGTTTGGCCCGGGTGGTAAGGCAATAATATCCTGCTCAGTGTTTCAGTAATATTCCTGGTTTTAACCTTTGAAAGCTTTCTCGGCTTTCGGGAGTTTTTCTCCTGTTTGTCTGCCATTTTTTTAAGCGAGCGCGGGAACCTGAAGGAAAATTACGTCACGTTGTTTACGAAGTTTGATTGGTCAGTTATCTCTTCTTCTCGTTCCAAATATGGTACTTTCTAAAATGAATAATCACGAGCATCGGACAAAGCAAACATATGAGAGTTACACGTTTCAACCCCTTATGAGTTTCTGATATTTCCCAAATCAGGACTTCTGATATTTTGCACAGTCACATGGAGCCGCGAAATTCCATAGAAATCTTATCAAATACATGTCAATACACTACATTTGGAACTTATCTTGGTTATTGGGGCTTTTTGATGCCAAAATTCCAAAAACGAGCCAACGACTTTCCAAAACTACCAGGCATAAATCATATTGCGAAAAACTGGACACTAGTCATGATGTGATAAGCTTTCCCATTGGCTCATTTCTCAAACACTTTGTTGTTAGAATAGGAAATGATTATCTCTGTTAAAAAAACAGTAAACACTGGTCAAATCAGCGCAAAACTGATTGATTTCTAGCGAAATTTGCCCACAAAATCGGCCATTTATTTACCAATTGTTTTTCAGTGAAGTTAGACCCAAAAATTTCTGCAAAAATGTCGTGAAATCAGCTAATTTTCCACAAATCGGTCCCTGAAAATCCTGTGAAATCTGATTCTTTTTTCTGCAACCTACCAGAAGCCCTGAAAAAAGTCATTGTTTAACTAATAAAAGTGAAAATACTTTTAATGTTGTGACCAAAAGTGTGTGAACCCCAATGCCTGTTTCAATGTTGTTTCAATGTATGAATTGTAAACAACGTTTCTAGGTGCATTTTACCCACGATTTCAGATCAAAGTTTTTTTTTTCAATACGATCCAGATCGAATGTGACCAGTCAACGTGACCGGCAAGATGACAGGTTGACTGGTCAACTTCCCAGTCAGTCCAGACATTGTGCATTGACCAGCTGTTATTTCAAGCTTTGCCCTTTACATAAATCTGTACTCAGTCAGATTTTGTTGTTATTTCATTTTTTACAGCTGTACATGTTTCCTCACAGAGAACTTATGAAAATCTTTGCTTTGTTCACAGGTTCGTGGTGTTGGTGCTGGGGGCATTGTGTCCTCAGCATTTTGCCTTCTTTACAAGCTGTTTACATTAAAACTGACCCGGAAGCAGCTAAATGGCTTGATAACACATGTAGACTCACCCTATATTAGGGCTCTTGGCTTCATGTTCATTAGGTATGAAGAATAATCTCTCTTCACAGTATTAAGTCCTTTTTCTTATCTTAAAATGGGCAAAATTCCGGTGTTAAATTCAAATCTGAGGGAAAAGATACAACTGTAGGACATAAAAAGAAAAAAACTTGAAAAAACTATCCAAGACCTGAACATGGGATCTACTGCATAACAGGGAGACACCTGTGCTACTAAAGCACAAATTCCTTCCATTGATAAGTTTGGAAGTATACTATTTAAGTTTGCTTATGGTCTTTTACCCTTGGAAAGTTTGCTAAATGGCTGTTTGAAGTTATTCAAGCTGTTTTATTGTCTTAATCTGCCCAAAACGTCACATTAAACAACACACTGAAGGCTGGCCTGTTGCTGATCACAAATTATGCTTTCAAAGTTCAGAAGGCTGTTTGTCTTGTTTTGTTTCTAGGTGAGTGGGCCCACTCAACATTATATTTAGAAAGTGAGTCAAACCAAATTCCCCTTTGCTAAGCTATACATGCGTGATGCGAATTCTGGCAAATTTATAAACCTTGTTTTGCAAGGAAATTATCTATAAAGAAACTTAATCTGATATCCACCATGACTTACAGTGTAATTTTCAAATGATCAATTCATTAGTGGAATCAACCAGGGTACATGCTTAACGTTATCTTTTGTTGCAGGTATTGTCAACCTCCAGCCAAGCTGTGGGACTGGATGGAACCTTACCTTGAAGATGAAGAGGTCAGTAACACTATGTCAGTAATATTTATTATTGATCCCTGCTCTTTGTAGTGTTCAGCTCTTAAATTGCTCTTTGTTGAAATAAATCTGCAGCCGGGTAGCTTGCAACACACTTCAGTGATCAAACTGAAAGATTTTAAAAAATTAAAGCATTTAGACTTAAGTGTGAGACCAAAATGTAACTAATCAGCTTGCCTAAAACCTGAGATGTTACAGACTGTGTACATTTACTTCAGTTTACCTGTCTGCATCTGTAAGGAGCAAGTCCAAAATTGAGATGATGCTTTGTTTCTCTTCAAAAAGATTAAAAACCATACATGTACCTATTTGACAATTTGCTTAGAACAACACCCAAGCCCTGCAGTGTATGGGTCATTTTGCCAACGTTACGCAAGTAGTGGTGACATAGGGCATGGCATTATACATATAGTAGTTAATTCTGAAGACTCTTCATGGATTTGTTGAGAAAGGACAGTCAACTAGGAAATAAAAAATAATATTTAAAAATCACTAAATTTAACCATTTGAGGATTAATAATTAGTAAGTAGTAAAAAAACCTACCATCACTGAGCTTGGGATAGTCTACAAGCATGTGGATGAAAGACTTTACGTCCATTTGAAGTGGTGAGTTTCTTCAACAATTTCGTAGTGATTTTTGTCATCATTGTTGTAGCCTTTAGAAGCATGTTGTTGACGTTTGTGCTGATGTGTTTATAGGTGGTTGGGTAATACACCTCTTAGGCAGCTCATGACAGCTGTTTCCATGCCGCCGCAGGCCTTCAGATATTGTGCTGCACCGAGCTGCCTTTCTTGAGGTTAACACATCAAATGAGTAGGCTTAAACATGGGCTTTTGACTTCTACTGTACTTCTTCTGCTAATGTAGTTTATGTTCACATCATTTGTACTGTACTTTGCTAAGCTTGTATCTGCAAGTTTTATTATAGAATCAAAGCAGTTTTGAGGAAAATTTGACTTACTAACGCTGATTGCCCAGACTCAAGCTAAAAAAAAAATGAAAAATGAGCATCTTATTAACAATAATAATAATGATAATAAAATGATTGAGACTACTAGTGTAATACTGTGCATACCATTGCCTAGATTATGACAGTGCCTACAATGGAAGTAATGGGTAGCAAAGTGATTTTGGGAGATTAGTGATCATACGAGACAAAGAAAGGGAGCATTCAAAAATGCTGGTGTGACAAAATATGTGATTATTTTAAATAAATGTAAACAGCCTTTTGGGAAGGCGTTTTGATTAAAACATTACTAGTACCAGTGTCGGTACCAAGGGGAAAGCCGGTCATCCAGACCCTTAGATAAGGGGTGGGGGGGGGGGCTGGTCTCCCAAAAGANGCAGACAAATTTGTCAGCAAATCATTGTAAAAAATGCTTCTATTAATTATTAGACACCCTTAAGGTCAATAAAGTGGCTACTTGTGCTTTCTACGAGGGTGGCCCCTTAATAGAGGTTTGACTATAGAAGATCTAAATTTTGGGGGAATAAGCATGCAAAATTGTACTGAGGGGAATTGTACTCAATTTGTGTCATTTACAGGAAATTGATCCTAAAGCTGGTGGTGGATGCACTATGACAATTGGACAGATGGTAAGAAGCTTTCTATTAAAGCTAGAGTGGTATGGGACACTGTTTCCCCGCATCCCTGTACCAGTACAGAAGGATCTGGAGGTAAAGTTACGTCAGAAAGGCCTGTGTGACGACCACAAGAGAACCGCTCAGGAAGGCTGGGGTGAGGCGGAGGATTTTGTCAGGCGTACTCGTGGAGACAGGTGGGTGAGTCTGGCCGAAAATTGAGAATATTAGCAAAATCTTTTGAGAAGTAGGTTGAGTTTGATCGTCCGGGTGAATGTAGTCCTGAATAGGACTGTTGTTGTTGACAGTGACTGACGTTTTGACAAGCTGTGCAGTAGTCATCTTCAGAGTCAAAGTGAGTTGTATCACGTCAGTTGATGTTATTATTAAACAATTATTGGATGAGGTTGAGAATGATATCATGAATAATTAAAACCGAGGTCTGTGTTATCTGCTGAAGCCGAAGGCTGAGGTAGATAATACGGATACTAGGTTTTGATAATTCATGATATCATGCGAAAACCGAATTCAATAATTGTTTTATTATACATTTTTTAAACAATAGGCAAAAGAAGACATTCATCTGTTGAAAAATGGCTTTATTTCAAAACTAAGGTGAAAGTGACACTGATAAGCTTAACCAAGATCATTTAAAAAATTTAAAATACAATAATAAAACCTTTGTCTGAATAAAGGTGCTCTTTTTGTGTTTTTGGAATCTTTTTCTTCAATTAATTGACGTAATTCATCCTCAGAAACAGAAGCGAAGCATTCAGCCATTCTGTTTCTGAAGAGAACACTCCAAGGGGCGTGGTATCCAGGCAGACGTTGAACTTGACATGATAAATGCAATATCTGCAGCAGATATTGCATTTATCATGTCAAGTTCACAAGCTATTGTGAATTGATTGAATGCTCTCGACCAATCAGATTTTTCATAGTGAGTCTGATGTATAATAATACTTATTATTGAGATTCAGAGTATTTGAATTCTCTCACTCCCATTGTGAGTGATGGAGTCTTGTAAAGTGGTTCTAACCTTTAAGTATGAGGAAGAAATCCAATGGTGTGACCTGCCCTGTGGTTGTACGCATATTATATTATTTCACCTCTCAAGACCTAAAGCAAACAGCCATGCTCAATAATGCAATGTAAGCGCTTAGGCATGTGAGCGGGCCCACAGCAAATGCAGCATGGTTGAAATCTAATGTTCAAATATTACTTCATTACAGCTCACCAAGCGCACGCTCACGGGAACCAGCCGATGATGATAGGCCTTCAGGATCACGCCGAAGCCGAAGCCGAAGTCGAGATCGAGACCGAGAGAGAAGACGTAGTCGGAGTCGTGATCGTGATAGTTCCCGAAGGCGAAGTCGGGAACGCCGAAGCCACGAGCGAAGACGCGGGGATAGCAGGGACCGAGATAGAAATAAGAAGCGGAGCAGGAGCCCCGACAGACGAGGCAGAGACGACGACAAAAAACGACGGAGCCGAAGTCGCGATAGGAAAAGGGAGAGGAGGCGAAGTGCTGATCGAGAAACTTCTCGGAGAAGAAACAGCAGAGAAGACAGAAAAAGTAGAGAAAAAGAACGATCACGAAGTAGATGAATGGAAACACAAAACCGGAACATTTATCTGTCCTGCAAAGACAGTGATTTCGCTCGGATGTGTTTATGTCGGTGTTTTACACTCTTTGTTAAGTGACTGTCGGATTGTCGGCATTCTTTGGACGCATGTACATATTCATTGTTTTACATTATTATTCGTTTTATCTTTGACTTCATAGGGACGTCGTCTCCTCTATTAGAGAACTGTCTTTGTGTTAATCGTTTTTTTTTTCAAGCCATTTTCAACCAAACGTGCTTTTATGCCCATATAATTAGCTTAGTTAAAAATCCTGTAGAAAGAGTACAGTCAGCTTTCTCTTATTACGGATACCTTAGTTGGTCCCCGACTATCCTTGACTCTCTAAGAGGCGGGCAACTCTCTTCAGACGGGTAGTTACTGTAGTCCCCTACGTACATGTCTAAGGGAGAGCTGACTTTAATTTTGAAAGGCTTTTTGATTGAAATTGTGGAACTAAAACGCTCGAGAGTAAAGTAAATCAGGCCTTTTTCCATTCTGGAGAATATACGGTCTGTCAGGCTTCTTATTTGTGCTAAAATTTGTGCCCGTTTAGTACATATTACGTAATAATGATTCATTGAAAACCAGAATAGTATTGCTTAGATAGGAACCATCATTTGAATGAAAGGTCCAGTCCTCCCTATCCCTCCTTCAAGTGTAAGAAAGTGAAGCTTTAGCCGAAACCTTGGTAGCCTCACTCGAGGCTTTTTAAATATCTTAAAGAAGCCTTTATCGTTATGAATACCTGTAATATACTGAAGTTGAATTGTTAGAATAGGCTACCTTTACCCTTACCTTTTCTTTGCAAAGAAAAACAAATCATGTCGTGAAACTTAAAACGACATATGCAGCCATCCTCACTAAATCCTTCTATCATGTTATGTGAATAAAATTTGACAAGTTGACTCTTTATCAAAAATCTAGTGTCAAGTTCATTTAAATTTCCTCTTACGTTTTTAGGGAGATTTTTTATATCACTATGCTCTGGTACTACCATTTCCGCTGGATTATCTTTTATAGCATACTTTTTTTCTTCACTGCTTTCTTTTACAAGGAGTCTTGGAGGAACAGACCTCTTTAGCGTGTATATTTTGTTTTTCCTATGAAGGTCTCATGGAGATTTGACACTGTCTTTTCATAAATTACGCGCATGTTTGCAAGGGAACAAGACAATTTGAAAGAAACAGTTCTCAAGAGTATTATCAATTGACCTACGTAGGGAGAACAAAACATGTAAGCTTTAGCCCGGCCCTTTTAAGGTTTCCTGAAAACGAGACTTTCTTGTGCTTCGAACGTGGTCTTCTCTCTACGTCCCGTCTCTACTCGGACAGTTTTCTTTCCGCAAACATACAATGAAACTTTAAACAATTCACTCGCTCCCCTTATAGTTTCGTTGCGGATATTAGGCTTCCTCCCTTTTTCATATGCACTGGTCTGTCCCTTCTCGTTCCCAGCCCTAAGGACGTTACGCGGGGAGAGACTAGCGGCGAGAGGCTAGTAGAGGCGGCTGTATTCGCAGGATACAAATGCACACATTGAAATTCTTTAAACCAAAGAACAAGTGGCGAAGTAAAATCCCGCGGTAAACCCAGGCGCGGAATCAACTCCGGTTTCCATCAGTCAACATTGACCCCTAGTACATGGACTACTCCCATGACTACCCTAAAATGGACTACGCCGCTGAAGTTTGGTGGGTTAGAAAACTGAGTGAATCAAGTTTCAGGTCAGATTTCCCAGTATAAGGACCCTTAATGAAACCTGATTCACTCAGTTTCCTAACCTTAATCACTAAACTTCAGCGGCATTGTCCATTTTAGGGTAGTCCATGAGGGTAGTCCATGGACTAAAGGTCAGTGTTTTGTCCACCACCTTGTCTGAATGACTAAAAACCCCAAGAAATTTTCCGCGGGAGCATGCCTCCGAAACCTCCTACAAGCTTGCGCCTTCACCCGTTTAGGAAATAGGTCAGTATTTATCACTAGATCCGCCCCTGAAACCCCTCAATAAACGGCGGGGGCATTAAGGATGGATGGTTCAAGACACATCAGCGTCCTGGGCTTCCCATTGGTTTGTAAACCACATTTAAACTCGGATTTATCTGGCCTTTACTCCTCGATCGACGCTGGTAACCTGCTTTGTCCTTTCACGCAGCTGTGTTAAGGGAGGCTCTTCTGGTTGCCAGACGACCTTTATCGTTAAGAAAAAGGTTAAGATGAAGATCAGGTGGATTGTGGAAGAGAGGGTGGAGGGACTAATCCAATCTCCCCTTTTTTTTGCACGCTCTATCTTACGCCTGATCACCTAGCCGCGGGGGAACCGACCAACCTGCGCGCCGACCTTTCGTATTCCCTTTTTAAAAATACTTCTCCTTTGTTTCACGCGAAATCTTAGCGGATGCTTTTTTTGAGGATGGAAATCTGAGCTTCAACTAGTATTTCATGTAATAATACACCGGTTATACGTGATGAATAGTTGCCCGGGAAGATGGAAGCCGCCAGCCGGAAATACGCCTGCGTTCGCACGCAAAGATACGCAACGTGTCCCGAATTTTAGATTACAATACTAGAAAATAGGAGAGGAAATTTTTACCTGCAGTAGGAGTAGCAGGTAGAAATTTATTTTCCAGGAAATGCGTGATTTAACTCCCATATAACTCAGAGACTGTGCGTGTGACGTTCGTATGATGTTCGTGACTTGTTCGGCAGAAGCGAAGATTTCTGGCCGCCGGCCAGTTTCGTCTGCCCTTTCTGTCACGTCCGAGAGTCCAACCGGTCGTTTTTTTTGTCGTTTTCACGAAATCGCAAGGGTAATGGCGAGGCACATTTTTTTCTTCCTGTTCAACGCAATCACGTAAATATATGCCAAACCGTCTAAAAGGCAAGTGCTTCTCAGTTATTATTTAGCTTATATGGTATGTAATAAGTTTATTTGGATGTCCATTATTCAATTTGAACTTTTATGTGCTCAATTAAGATTCATTTGAGCCAGCTAATCACGGTGCCAATGTTTGTTCAATTTAATTGCCTGTCCACAGACTCTGATCGTTTGATAACCCAGCTGGCATATTTATAATGTGGAATTATAAACTGACTTTCTTGTTCATACAGTATAATTCAATCAATCTTCTGTGTCGTGATGGCTTCATCACCCAGACGAGAGTGGCTTGGACTTCAAGGACACATACAACCTCTACACAGCTACAGCGGTATCAATTTAAACAATCATTATTTGCCTCATTTTAAAGCCTTTAGTTAAATTATAAGTAAAATCCCTGGCAACCGGGGGTTTCACAAAAGGATTTGACCCATTTAAAGCTCATTGAGAGCTGTGCTTGGTTGGACAATTTTTGTTTAATTACAAATTCGACTGACCAATCTTGGGATTGACAGATAGATGGATAGATAGATAGATACTTGTTTTTATGAGGGTTTCACTTGATATCCACAGATAATATACGCATGGCCCTCAACCAAAAATTACACATAAAAATAAATAAATAAGTAAACAAAAATTAAGTAAAGATACAAAATTCCAGAGAGTCCTACCTACAAACAATAGTTACAAAGATTATGGTCATGAAAGGTAAATTTTTATTTTCACTGCTTGCTTGCTTAAAAAGGGAGCCTGCATAACTGGCGTAACAGTATCATTGTTTCGCATAATTTTTCTGGCAAGCAAAGGTAAGCATGAAGCGGAGTGAGGGGTGCAGGACAGAAACGATGGGACAAGGTGCTGAAAAATGCCTTTTCCCTGTTCTGTGTGGCTCACATTCCACGCCAGCTTCTTGCCTGTTTGCCCAATAAATGCTAGCCTGTGTGGCAGGCGCAAAAAAGGGTAGGGAGGGGGAGAGGGAGAAAAGTGCAAAAGTGCAAAAAGATATCGCTAGATCTGCAGGCTGAAATAGGACCCAGAGTTAAAATGATCTGCAGTGTCAAGCAGTTGGTTGTTTAACACTTGTGAGGAGGGGCGGCCATTTTCCTGGGGGGAAAAGGTAGAAAGGTATAGCTTTACCTGGGGGTCACTTTAATAGGTTTCCCGAAAGTGTACAAACAAGTGGTTATTTTCACTTTTCAAGTGCTTGAGGTTGCTTGCCTGATGTCTTAAGCAAGCATGCTTGGAGGGGATTTCCAGTGTATGAAGTGTGACTAAGGCAGAATAGTCCTAATTTATTATCTTCCTATCATCAACCTACCCAATGCCTGACCCCCGAAAAAAAGAAAAAAAGGAGTCGTGAACTGAAAATTGATGGGAAACTAGGGCACAGAAAACTCAGGCATGCAGTGATAGGTTAAGCTTTCATGATATGAGTCTGCAGTAGTAGATTGGATGCAACAGGGAGCTTAAGCAACAACGACAGCAAGGACAACAAGATTGGCAAAAAAGCAATCGGTTCTCTTTTAAGACTAGCAAAACAACAACTTTACACGTGCATCACACTTTTTTGTACATTTCTTTGCAGTCACTGTGTGACTCTGATGTAAAACTTTCTAATTTCATGTTTTATGGACGACATGAAAACAGGAAAACAATTTTGTGAACTAAGATACATTAATTCATTTTGAAATCAACTCCAAAAAGTGAGACTTTTTGGATTTTTGCAAAATAGAAGATTCATTTCTGGAACCAAAGTTGTTATTACCCCTTCCTTTTTTAATAATGTAGCCCCAATGTAACTTATGATAACTTATTCATCTCCCTTTAGGACTTAACAGGCTTAGGGAAGATAAAAGTGACAGGAATTGGTAAGTTTTTTTTGAAGATTAATAGTTATAATCCTTTTGGGTGTGCAAAACACTTGCATTTGGGTACTATAAAAACGTTTCTACTGTCAATTACCAGTCACTTTATAACATAATCATCTTGTTAAAATAGAAAGAGAAGCTTAGCCATCTTAGTTATTTAATAATTGAAAATTTTTTGTTCAGTCCATATACTTTTATTTATTTATTTGAAGAAAGGTTTGCTTATAAAATATTTACAAAACTCTCTAATTTGACTAGCTTTGAATGTTATTTCAGGGGTTACTAAAATATAATTACATTGTACACTAGTAGGTACCCTCCAATGGGGTTTATTTGTTTTCCTACTAGTGGTGTTGAAGGGGTTGCTGCTTTGTATGAGGCCTTTCAGGGGGGAGGAGGGGGTGGGGGGATTGGGCAGTGGGGAGTATGCTGTCGCTTTACTTGTCTTTTCTAAGGCTGCCTGTTACCTGGAAGGTCAGAAAAAATGCTGCTGTTGCATTTTAGCTGTACACAGTTTTGGAAAATAACAGAAAATGTTTGGAAATAACGAAGAGAGTTTGTTAATTTCAGACCGCAAAAAATCCTTCCATCATTTGTGTCACTGTAAAGCCTGGTTCTCATATGCCGCCGATGCACCCGCGACATGGCAGCCGATACTGCCTG